CCCCTTACCATTTACCATCTTTCCTCTTTTTAAAAATATTTTATTTATTTATTTGAGAGAGAGAGAGAGAGCCAGAAAGAGAACAAACAGGGGCAGAGAGGCAGAGGAAGAGGGAGAAGCAGACTCCATAAGCAAGAATCCCAATGTGGGGCTCAATACTAGGACCCTAGGAGCATGACCCGAGCCAAAGGCAGACATTTAACCAACAGAGCCACCCAGGTGACTCTACCATATTTCCTCCTGGTGTACTCAAAGGCCTGGAACCAGTTTGGTTTGACTCGTGAGTTTGTTCATTCCAGGCATTTTGTCCTCATGCAGGTTGCTGTACTTCTCATGACACACGGTATCTGCCACTGGAAAGTGGGTATAATAATAGTGCCAGTGGTGGGTACAGTCACTGTGCGAATTAAATGACTGATGTTTATAAAGCACTTAGCATAGGACTTGGCACAGAGTTAGAACCCAGGATAGTTCAGCTATTATTAGGGTCCTGATTTATATTTCCAGCTCCTAAACCATATTGTTTTTATACATGCATATAAAAAACACAGAGATGCACATAAACATAACCCCCAGAAAAGGGTATTAAAATGATTCCCTTGCCTATGAGTAGTGCTAGGACTATGTATTGTTGAAAGTTTATCTTAATGCGGTAATATCAATAATGGTCTTCATGTCCAGCAAAGTCCAGCTCAGCCAAGATACACTCTGAATAACACGGACCTGATTTTCCTATGGCCTCCTCATTCAGAAATAGAAAAGGTAACAGAGAAGACCATGTTGTGATCGATATCAAGTAACATTTCACCCACAAGAAATAAGTACCGAGTACTTGCCATGTTCTAGGATGTGTGTGTGTGTGTGTGTGCGTGCACACACACACACATAAACGGTAGCTTAGCAGAGTTAAAATAGTCGGCAATCCTGAGAATAATTTATTTTTTTTAAGATTTTCCTTATTTATTCATAAGAGAGAGAGAGAGAGACAGGCAGAGGGAGAAGCAGGCTCCCCCCGGTGAGCAGGGAGCCCGATGCGGGACTCGATCCCAGGACTCTGGGATCATGACCTGAGCCAAAGGCAGACGCTTAACGACTGAGCCACCCAGGCGCCCCTGAGAATAATTTAAATCTGCTAAATTTTGAAGACTCAGTACAGACTGAAAAGAAATGTTAAGAGTTAATCACTCTCTAAATTATACACAACACCCACACACACAATTTATCATGTCCAAGGACAGCTAATCCTAGTAAGAATAATAGCACAATTCACAAAGACGGCAGGTCAAGCCCCAACTTGAAACCACATATGCTGCAGAGAAATTTAAGTATTACATGCTAAAACTCTAAAACCAAGAAGGAAAAAAAAAAAACATCAATGGATCTTAAAATACATCCAAGGGAGGAAGCCAAGTGAAGGATAAGTGTGGCCACTTATTCAGGGACTCAGGGGCGAGGCAATGGCAGATAGGCTAAATAAATAAGTTCATGGTCTTGGTCTTTACAGAAGACCTCAGGAAGATTCTCACTTGAACCTGACAAGCGGGTGATAGGAGATCAGATAGTGGTAAATACACAGGATGTTCCAGACCTGGTTGGCAGTGTAGATGTAGACAAGTCACAGGAACCAGGACAATCACCTTCTCTCCTGAGAGGAACTCAGGGCAAAAACTGGGTCCTGCTGGAGAAAATGCTTAGCCTGCCATTAACAATAAGCTGAGGGGTCCGAGGACCCCTGAGTGGGCAACCTGTGCCTCTTTCATGAAGTTACTGGTTATCAGGTTAGCATGGATTTGTTAAATCCCAGCACACCAGAAATTGCAGAGGGCATGCTGTGAAGGTTAAGTGGAACAAATTAAAGACAAATAGCCAGGCAAAAGTCTTTAACAGTAGTTAGCACACTTGAATTCGTTACCCCCAAAGATAACGAATTTATCTAAAAATATAGATGGGCTAAAAATATAGATGCTCCAAAAGTTTAGAACAATTCAGAGGTGACACAGCCAACATGGGAGCTAGGCTTTCAGGAGAGCAATGAGGCCCGAGGGTAAGGGACTTTGAAAGTAATATTGCCCAGGGGATACACAAGTGGTCCCCATATTTTCCTGGTACCATTGGGTTGGGTATCTTGGAACCCCTGCATAGCAGGAGCCCCTCTCTCTTGCTGAGTTTTGTTATCCTCACTTTCAGCCTTGGCTTTTGATCTCATGGACACTAAAGGCCCGGTGGGCAGCCACTGTGCTTCTGCCTGTGATATATATACAGAGTACAATGTATTCTGCAGAACCAAGAAACACACGCTGTTCCTGCCCAGGGCAATGGACAGGCTGAGCTCACACGCCACCTCTGGCTTCCAGAAACGCTAAGTGTTCTCAAGGGATGAAATCTGCCAAAGCCTCATCCCACCTCCCTCCATCCTCAAGGCCCACCTGTCCCTGTGGAAGTGCTAATGAGTTCTCTGCCAGAGGACATGGGGGACACTGGGGAAGGAAGCAATTTCTGTCAACAATCATCCATTTCTAGATTCCCTTTTCTGTCTGCCCCCCAACCAATAAAAATAAGTGAAGGCTCTGTGACCTCTGGAATGGGAGATAACATATAAAACATGCCAAGGAGAGCATCATCAGGGTGTTTATTATGACCTGAAGGAGACAAGGATCGGGGATCTGGAGGGTCAGTGCACCAGGATGATGCCGCCAAATGGGAAACACATGCTTCAAGCTGTCCTCATTTTAAATGAGAACAATAGATACAGGGAAATCTTGCTATTTCCAGGTCACGTGCCTTAGCAAATTCCAACACAAAGACCACCTGAATGTCAAGAGGCCATGTGCAGAGAGCTACCTCTGAACACGGAGGAGCCAGCCCTGGGCAGAAATAACACGGTAACATAACCCTAGAAGGGAAATGTGTTTTCAGTTACACCAGGGCCCAGCCAGGCCTCTTCCACAGGCTCTTCCTAAATAGGAACTTGGCAGTGGGATTCGTTGGGCTGGAGGGGACGTCCTTGGCTCCAAAGGTGAGGCCCTCTGGGGTCTTGAGCAAAGTTGGACAGAAGTTCTTTCTCCCTGCCGGTAATAACACTGAGGAATCAGCGTCACATCCATTTTATTAATTTTCCTGACAGGCAGCTCTCGTTTCCACATAGGCACCACAAAATCAAAACATACGCATGTCAAGTGCCCCATGTGCGGTAGGGCCCTGCCAAGACCGTGTTACATCAACACAAGGAAGCAGAGCCCAGGTCTCAGACCCTGCGCCTGGGCCTGCGGATAACTCCCTGCTGGAGGAAACCCCCAGAGCTTGGTTGAATGAGCCAGAAGAGCTCTCTTGGTGACAGTCCTTTATCCTGGGGTCTGGGTTCCTTGTGTTGAACACAGCCATGGGAGACACAAGGCTACATCTGGCTTTGGGGCATGCCTCTCAGTCCCGCCACACAGACCCCCCGCCCCCCGCCAACTCTATATTGCCTGCATTCAGTTTCATCCAGGCAGGGGAACAGCAGCCTGGATTAAAGAAGCCATTAAAAAAAAAAAAAAAAAAAAAAAAAAACACGCAATGTCCTTATTTGTGAGCTGGGTCTGAGCCTGGAGTTCTGTGGCGTTGAGGTCTTTGGGTACATAGTGAGCTGAAGGAATTTTTTGATCAAGGCATCCTTTGCTAAAGTGATGGAAGGGACTCCAAAACAATTTGTCCTTTTACATAAAGGATTATTATCTATGAATTGCCTAAGTACTGTAAATTAGGTGGGTACAGAGGGTTAGGGACCGAGAGAAAAGCCCTGCTGTAATCACACGGCTGGGGATGCCCAGGGTGAGCATGCGCATGGAGTCGGTCCATCACCTGCAGCCACACTCTTCCCACGCAGCCTTCCCACTGCCTCCACGGCCGTCGCCACGACTCCCCCAGACAACTGACCTCCGGTGCCACATACAGTGGTAATGGTAGCCAAGGGCTGGAGGTCTCGCACCCGGGATTGCAGCGCTTCTAGCCCCCTTCATGGGACCTCCTGGTAACTCCAAATTTCCCACCTCCATCTCTACTCATGCAGGAAGGGGACATGGAAGTCCAAATCCTGAGCTAACGGCCACCAGTGCCAAGTCAGAAAGGCCCAAACTGGGCAGGTTTTACTGTCCTGGTCTGCCTCCTTGACGGTCTAGGCTAAACACAATCCAAGGATGAGGACTGGTGTTATCATTACCCAATGTGCTCCAAAAGCCCTCTTAGGAGGGTGCCTGGGCCCTCAACCCAATGTCCCAGAAACGGGCCTGGCCTGGGCTGGCCACTGTCCTGGCCTGGCCTGTGAGGACAGAGTTGGGTCTTTCATTGCCTGGGTTGGTCCAGCAGGCAGGGGACACTCTGGAGACACAGGGGTGGCTGCCCAGTCAGCTCTGTGGGGTGAGCCAGCTGATGAGGAGGCGAGCAGAGCCAGACCGCCTGTCTCACGGCGTACAGGGCGCCGCTGCTGAGGGTTCGGTCCCTCGTTTCACTCTCCATTCAAATAACCATGGCATGTCAGCCCTGCTGGCCTCCTTGATTGTGCAGAAATAAATAAATGAATTATGTTGTTGGGGTTTGGGCTTCAGCACAAACACATGGTCTGCATTTATCCACACAGTGAGAGGTCCACCAGCCACTTGATGTAAAAAAGCAAAATGATAATTCTTTTCTTTAGGCGCTCTGGTGCCATATGGAATGTATATAAATCATATTTTTGTTTTAACAGCGGAGGCTTTGTTGATAGATAAACATGTGGTTTATCTAAAAAAAAAAAGAGGATTGTGCTTTGAACAATCATTTAATGGCCGTGGATGTGCCAAATAAAAATAAAAACATAATTTTGAGAGAAGTTGGCCTGGTGCCCAAATCTGTAACAAGGAATTTCTCCTTAACCAAAGTGGTTAAAGCCCGTCGATCTGTTTTGAGTTTAAGCTATGCTCTCTACTCAACCCCACGACAAACTGAATCCGGGGCTAATGGGCTCTAATAGAACAAGACGTTACCTTTATGAATGACCTCATGGAGAAGAGGTTGGCGAGCATGGTAGAGAGGCCTTGAGCCAGGCAGCTCTGGGCTATGAACCCCAGCTTCAGCTCTGCGAGGCAGATTGCATCATCCCCCTCTTTCCAATTCCAGCTCGGGATGTTTAGCAGATGGGCCTGTGGAAGCAAAAGCAAGGTATGAGACCTTAGGTTGCTAAATGTTCAATTGTTGAAAATGTCCTCTGGGAAATGCAGCATTGCCCAACTGCTCAGAGGCATTCAGGCTCATCCTTTCTTTCTCTCTCCCGAGCCCGCTGTTTGCTGTTTCATTCGACTCTCCTATTCAGCAGACTTCAGTCTTCAGTGGTCTCTCCAGAACATTGCTTCTGCGCCTCCCAAACCCAGGTCTTCCCCTCGGGTTTGTCATGTAGCCAAACGGAGTCCGCAGGGAATCTCCTCTTGTGACAGACACATCAGCCCACGCTACTAGGATGTCTGGCTAGGTTGTTCATAAATTGGCTCCTCAAACACACTCAAGACTGTCAGATGACTGTGTGTTTTAGAATCCTTTTTCATTTGCATCCCCGAAACTCCAGGTCAGTGGCCCCCAAGTCTGAGTGGGCCTCAGAATCACCTGGTGGGTTGATAGACATATTGCCGGCCCCTCCTTCAGAGTTTCTGATCTAGTAGGGTGCGGGACGAGGCCGGAGAATTCGCATTTCTAATAAGTTCAAGGTGCTGCTGCTTAGCTGCTGATCCGGGGAACACGCTTTGAGAAGCACTGACCTAAATCGTCAGGCAAATCACAGTGTAGACATATTACAACATCTTGCAGATGGACTGATCCTATTCAACAGTTAGGTCACACCCCAAGATAAGGACCCAGACATGCTCATCCACTTAGTTTTAAGTGGCATGAAGCAGAGAGTCAGAGATCATATGTTGGATGAAGGAATCAAGATTCCAAAACTTCTCCAGGGTTAAAAAAATGGGCAGAAAACCAACCAGGAAAGATTTTAAAGGCCTTAATGTCAAGCACAGCATTTAGGTTCCAAAAAAAAATCAATTGTATAAATTCAAAATGAGAAGACCTAACTTGGCAGTAGAGCTGAGGGGAAAGAAGAAAAAAAAATACTTAAGTGTGTGGGTAACTCAAATCCTAAAAAGAGGCCAACCGTGTGACAGATTACAGAGAAAGCCAATGCTTGCTTGTTAGAAATGGTCTCCAGATCAAGGGAAATGAATGTTTCATTCTGTTGTGAACTAGTCAGGCTAGTTCCAGGGTACTTGATCCAGTTGTAACAGTCAGATTTAAAGAGGGAAACTGATAAATTGAATAACTTCCAGAGAAAAATGACAAGCACAAGGAGAGATGGGGGTTCTGGAAAACATCTTTAGAGAAACAGTTAAGAGAGCCAGCAGTGTTTGGCCTGAAGAAGGGCCACAGCCTCACAGAGACGGGATGGTGACAACCTCTGAATACCTCAGGTGCTGAAGAGGGATTGTCTTGCTTTGTTCCAGGGGCCAGAATTAGGACTGACTGGTACACGTTACAAGAAAGAGTTTTTTGGCTTGTTTTATAAAGGAACTTTCTAAGGATGTAATTTGTCTAATAAATGGAGAAAGCTACCTCCCCAAATGCAAGGTCTTTGTCCCAAAAACTCAGTAAGTGTTTTCCCAGGTCATAACAGAAAGACCGCTTGCTTTGCGTTTGTGGTTGAATCAGAGAGACGTGCTAGGCCCCCGCGGATGCCAAGACTTTATGGCCCCGAAATGACTGCTTCTCTCCAGATACCAGCAAGCACCAGGAGCACCCAGAAGGCTTCCCTTCACTGTCAGGACAACACACTACAGTTGTACCTACTAGAAGAGATGGCAGACGCCCTTATGGAAACAAAGACAAGTCCAATGGCTCCTTCCTCTGCTTGCAGAAATACCACTCTTGTGAAATCCCTTCCTCAAAGTCCTGTGACAGTCTCACAGGTCCTAAGCCAGCAGTGACTCCTGGGAGAGAAGACTGTGTCCTCCCTAATGAGAGGATGGTTAAAAAGTATGGTGCGTGGGCCATCGTGGGTGGTAATTTCTGTCAAGCTGAGTATCAGAGACCTTCTCACATCATAGGCTTGATTCCAGCGGATGGCCTTGCCCTTTACCCTGTTCCTCTCCCTACTCTGCACCGGCTCGCAAAGGCCACCTTCCTCCTTTACTGGCACCGCAGAGAATACACCAGTCTCAGTGGAGAGATACTCATTTGCCTTTATATCATCTGCGAAGGATAAGGAGAAATGAGATCTAAGTAATGAACAAGTAAATCACTGAGTGTGAAAGGAAATTTGAAGGTCACATAACCTTCGTGGTACTTTCAAGCGAGCAAGCAAGCAAACAAAGCCTTCTCCAGAGAATCTCTCATATCCCCATGTACCAGGTTTTTGAAGGTATGAAGTCCAGGCTTTTGGGCCTTGGGTCCCCCATGTTCCCATCTGGCTTGAGTTCCTTAGACATATTTTACATGTTATTATGTGGGAAAGTCAAGTTTGTTTCATTTCTCAGGCTTCCATATGGCCTCCTTTTATGGGCCATCATATCTTCACCAACTGTGGGGCAGGGAGCAGGGAGGGATGTACCAAAGGCTAGGAGGAACATCATAAATTCATAAATTCATGTGTGCATGAAATGAAGAGAGGAAATGTCATCAGGAACTCAAATCCTCTGTTTCTGGCAACTCTGTCCTTCATTTGAGGGACATTTGGGTCCAGTGGAAAATGCCAGCCTCACTGCACAGGAGTCTAGAGGCAAATCGTGGATCTGCAGAATGAGGCCTGATAAAGCTGGTGTATAGCAGGACCAGGATCTCCCTTTGATCAACCACTGGACCACTCCTCATCTCAAGAAGAAGGAATGTGAAAATACGCTCTCCTGGGAAACCGGGAGAGGTCAATTCCAGTCCTAGTTCCCGCCCTCTCTATACATATAACTTTGAGGAAGCCAGCATAAGGAACAAAGTTCATTTCAGAGAAAACACTTTAACACTACTGCCCAAGTGTGTGAGGATTTTTAGTGAGAAAGCTCAAAGAACTTGCATTACCATTGGGCCACTGGGACTTGGCTTCCAGGTCCCAAACAAAGACCTCTTTTTCTAGAATCTGTTTGGAAAATAAAAAATCTATGAATAGTTAAGTCATCAGAAGTGACACTGTTCTAAGACACAAACTGTTCTTTCCTTGAAAAGCTTCAAGACATTTACACTCAAATCAAAAATGAGTGCCCTGTACCATTTTCTTTCAGTGTTCAGAGATGGCTGGGCTGAGTGTTTCTCTCCATAAAATCAGATCCACTTTAGAGAACACCAGCCCTTCTAGAAGGCCTACTGTGAGCAACCACAGTTTGGCTCAGTGGGGTGTGGCTCTATTTAAAGAGAAAGTGACAGTTGGCCGTTCTGTCCTTAGCTCACTGCCTGCCAAGTGACCACGAGTTGTACACACCAGAGCTACTCTGAGAGCACGTAGACTCCCAGTCTGAAGTCACACTGGGATGCTAGCATGCACAGATGGTCAAATGAGGATTAAACGTGATAATGGATGTCAAGCTCTTTTAAAACCATAAAATATGCCACAAATGTCTGAGATTACTATGATGACAAACTCAGGACCGGTTTTACATGGAGAGAAAGTAGGCAGCTTGCCTATATCCCTCTAGGCCCTGGAATAACAGCATCATTAGAGCACAGGGAATTGAAATTCTTTGTATTTTAAGTCTTGTATCCAATTATGGAATTAACTGTCACTTGAAGTATGTTGACTATAACATAAGTTTACACACACATACCAGGTTCTTTCAAGAAAGCAAGTTTTAGTGGGTGGAGATCTCTGGACATTTAGTCATGGGTGAAGAGAAAGTACAGAGAGAGGAAGAAAAAGAATACTGTAAGGCAAGGGGAAGAAAAACAGATTAAAGAGAAGGTGGGAGCATCTCACGAAATAGCACAATTATAAAGCAGGGTGACAAGTGTCCATTTGCAATTCCATGAGGAATGAGATGACAATGACCAGTGGACTTTTTGCTCCCTCTAGAAGAGAGAAATAAAATGATCGAGAAAAATGTGCCCAAGTCACTCCATCCCTCGTACCCTTACTCATCTGACAGGGGCAAAGTCTCACACCTGGTTTTGCCTGACTCTGAAACCCCAAAATATTGGGGTGGTTCTAAGCAAAAACGTGTTTTCAGCAAATAGTCATGGGTCGGTTGAGGCCTTCATCATTGTTCCTGAATAATTACCATGAAAAGGTTTGTAAAAGACATTCAGCTTGTTATGGTTGTGTGAGTACTGACCAGGTTCCATCCAGATCCTAGGTCCACTGAGCTACTTGGAGTTTGACAGAAATCACAGCTGAAACCCTCCTGAATTTCTTGAAGACGTGGCATCAGTACTCATTGGAAGGGGGAAAAAAAAGGAACTGACAGCCCTTTCTAAACATACAACATTAATTTCCCTACTCGATCTAAATTCAGCCAAAAACCTAAACAGCTTAAAGCACTCTCACACTAAATGAAATTTCAAATCATAAATGAAAGAAGAGTTTATTGCCTGAGGAGCTGTCACCAGCCACAGCCTTGCTAATAAAATTCACCTCCACCTACAGGGACTGCTGTCAAGAAACTTCTCCAGACCTATGCTTGTAAGTCCCCCGATATCCTCACTTTATCTCTCCCATGTCCTTGGGTTTTCCAGAGACGAACAGGACCATTGGGTGCCCACCACCAAGCCCACTGGCTGGAGTGCAACCCGTTCTGCAGTGGAACCACCTGCCAAGGGCTGGGCAGTGGGCAGCAGACCCTAGTGGTAGGCCAGTCGCCGACAGCAGGCTCCACTCCACAATGGCCTCTGATGGACCTCCACACAGCAAAATGGGGCAGCACTTGCCAGCAATTAAGAAATAATGGCATGGCACTGGTGCATTTGGCAGAATAGGGTCTTCTCTGGGTCACCTGACTGCCTATTTCGTAGGGAATATGGCCTGTAAGATGGGACACACACTCACTCACAACCCAGCGGGGAGTTATTGTGTTCAGACAGGACACCTGGTTCCAGGTACTGAACAGCCTCCGGTTTCTCCGAGCCTCATTACGGGGAATAACCGGTTCCATATCAAACAGAGAAAGGTGCCACCTTCCCTCCCCCAAAGCTGTTTCCCTGGAGTTCGGTGACAGGCCGAGTGAAGGAGCAGTGCCTCTGAATGAGAGACTGAGAAGTAATCACAAGGGAAACAGCACAGACTCCAACATTTGTTTTCTTTCCAATCCCCTTGTAAACTAGAACATGAGGAAAATTCCTTTATGTTTTTATCTCTGGAGAGCAACTTTTCTCCTGAATTCAACGAAGCCAGTTCTCCTCTTGAATTTGAGAATGCCTTCTTGGGCATTCTCCCCACTCCCACCCCCTACCCCTGGCTTGCCTGGGACACTCTCTACCCCTGGACTGCCACGTCCCAAGGGCACAAGGCTGGACTCCTTCACTTACACCCATGGGAGGTTAGGGAGGTCAGGTAGCGTGCTGACCACATAGCAGGGAGTCAGGAGATAGTGACTAAAGAAGTGAGTGGAGCACATAAAAATGGGATGTTGTTGAAATGGGATCTAAGATTACATCGATATTTGGACCCTGGGGGTCCAACGGATGGTTCCTTCTGGTGACCAGCGGTAAACAATGTGTTTGCTCTGAAGTGAGGCCCCGGGGAGGTTTTTACCCAGCACCCCCTTATCCAGGCCTTTGGATTACAGCAGCACATGTGTGTGTGTATGTGTGTGTGGGTGTGCATGTGTGTGCATGTGCGCACATGTGTGTGCACGTGTGTGTGTGTGCACGTGCATATGTATTCATGTGTGTGCATGTGCGGGTGTGTGTGCGTGCACACGTGCGTGCATGTGTGTGGGCGTGTGTGTGCACATGCATATGTATACGTGTGTGTGCGTGCATGTGGGGCGTGTGTGTGGGTGTGTGCGCGCGCGCATGCATATGTGTGTGTGCACGTGTATGTGGGGGCGTGTGTGCACGTGCGTGCATGCGTGGGTGTGTGCATGCATGTGGGGGGCATGTGTGTGCACACACATGCATGTGTGCGCATGTGCATGTGTGTGCACGTGCAGCTGTACAATGAGAGGAAAGAGACCGGGTCCACTTGTGCATCTCTGAGCCTGGGACAGGCTCGAGCTCTCGCTGTCCTACCTTGTTGTGATACTGCAGCATCTGAGTGATGATTCTTATCTTCGGATGGTAGTTCTTTATGGAGATTACTCTGAAAAAGAAAGAGCCAAAGCTGAGGCAGGGCCTGCCTTACTCTTGGAGTCTGATGGGAACATGAATTTGCACCCGAACAAAGTGAATGTGGGGCCCGCAGCCAGGCCCCTCAAGAGGTCTTGCGGGCACAGGACCAAGTTAAACTTGTGTTCGTCACTGTACCCCCTGGCGTGAAAAAGAAATCAACAGAACGGCCACAGACTGTGTCCTGGGCAGAGAAGAGAGCAGTCCTGTGGTGCCTTGGTGTGAACCTGCGTGGACTGGGGTGGGGGCTCCTGAGCAGGGGTCACGGGCTTAGGGCCTACATAGACATGTAAATAAGGCAAGCTTGACCCATGGGGCCGAGGGAGGTTTGCAGTCTCACATACCCTAGGGACGAGCCTAGAAACAATTTGCCCCGAGTCCAATTCTCCAAGTGAACAACTTAGACAACAATGACAAATCAAACAAGCAGCTTGACAAATGATACTAACTGTCACACACACATGGCCACTCACAGAAATTATTTCTGAGCAGAGCTCTTATGATGGGATCAATGACTCAGCCTTCAATAGATAATAGTGTCTAAATGATGACTTTAATGCTGGTTGGAAATAAAAACCGAGGCCTGGTGGGGGCCACAGTCTGGTAGAAAATTCCACTCTCCCCCCAACCCAACACCCTGGGAAACGGCCTTCAGTCTATACTCCCTATGAACCACTGCCCTCCCCCACCCCACCCCACCCCTCGCTTCTGCTCCCTGAGACAGTCACTGGGCTATAAGTGGAGGAATAGAAACACCTGGATTCCAGTCCCAGTCTTGTACCAAGGAACTGGGTGACCTTCAGGAAATCCCTGGGCTCTTTGTAACTGTTTCCTCATCTGGACATTGGGGGCAACGGTACCTGCTTTATTTATTTCACAGGCTTTGGTACGAGCAGCAAATGAAAGACCAGATGTGGAAATGCTTTGAAATCATTAAAAGCTCTCTCCACATGTAAGTTATGGTTTTTGTCATTACCGACTCTGTCAGAGGTGACATTGCACATTTCCTTCTGTGACAAGGAAAGCTAAAGAATGGAATTCCACAGAATGGCCCACCTCCTAAGCCTAATCAGAAATGCAACTGCGTTTATTAGGACCACCCCCACAAACTTTGCCCCAAGAACCATATGGATGCTTCATCCCTTTTTTTGTGCAAAAATGGAGAGAAGGCAGTCAGGGAGCAGTTTTGTCTGAAAAGCTGCAACTTATGAATTTAGGAAATGGATTGCACAGAAGCCTCTTCTGCACAAATTCACCCTGGGCTTTTGCACTTTAAGGAATTCATTTTATTTTTGAAAAAGTGTTGTGTTGGCTCTTGCTTATAACTCAAGGACTTTGAGTCTCGGTCAGCCCTCAGAGTTCAGTTCTCAGCCTCCGCTGGTTTTCTGCATTAGCTCATTTCAAATGGATCTTTGACATTTTAATTTCAAAAGGGGCAGATTGGTCTCATTAAACTAAGGAGAAAGGAGGATTATACAAATAAGGAAAAGACAGAGCCCAATTTTTAACCCTGAACTTCCCGTTTCCTTTCACTGACTGGGCCTGTGATTCTGGTTTATGGATGGCTTCACTACATTTCTGACGCTACCTTTGTCCTGTAATTTTTACGCGGTGACATCATGCCAAACACCCTGATAACTTACATGTCTTCATATTAGCCCTACCGCAGCCTGGGCTTAAATGAAATACTGCAATTAAGAGAAATGCCCATTTCCAAACTATTACTCATTTCAGTTATTCACTTTTGGAAGGAAAAAAAGATCGCACTAGCCCCAGACTTCTCTGGGGGTCCACACATTCAACTTTATCTTCTTTTGTTTTTTATGTCTGAAAATCTGAAGATCAGGGAGCCTAGTTCCTTAAAGGCTACATTTTTGTCATTTCAAATGACACAAAAATCCTAGTTCAGGGAAGGGGTCACTGAAACTCCTGATGCTGAGCTGTTGTAGTCACTTTCCAGCTGTGACTAGTGAGCGGGTGGACCCAGGTGTGGACGCACGTCCCCACTCCACCACCTCCCTGCAGGCTGGCAAGCCCCATGCGGACAAGAGTTCATGCATCAACTTCCTTCAAACAACTGCATGAAAGCATATGGCCAAAGAAAAGCGGGAGGAAAGAGAACACTGCACCAGATGTCGCTTGCCAGACACAGGGACCAGATGCTGAGGGAAGGACATGCTCATCCCTGAGGCACCGGAGGATACCCCCCCCCACCTCAGTGACCGGAAAGCTCATGTCACTCGGGGCCACTGATGAGAAGCAAAGGAAGGGAGGTGGGAGCACCGTGATGATGCAACTTCCCAAACCCTCACCCCAGGTACATTCCCAGGCCACAGCAAACCAAGCTGCACCGAGAGAGAGGTCTTTCTGGACCAAAGGATGGCTGCTCACAATTAGGCAAGTTCTTGGGAATGTAGCGGGAGGGAAATGTTTTCTCTTAGTTCATCTCTTCTCTCCAGAAGCATCTCTTTATTATTCCCTTCCAATGCAGGAGGGGAAAAAAAGAATCCTAAGGGGCTTTAACTCTCTGGAGCTAAATACCTTTTTTGTCATTCCATTGTCACAGAACAGTGGTCTTCTGAAATGAGGAACAAATAAGGAGTGGGGGTCAGCCATGTCAGGCCAGGCCAGGTCATGGCCTTTCATGTGCCTCGCCTGTTCCAAGGGAGGGCCCTGGGCAGTGTTCTCCAGAGTGTGCCCCTGCCCACCCAAAGATGTTCTGTAAAGAAAGTGGGGGCGGGGGTTGGAGTCAAATAGGTTCGATAAGTTCTCTGTAGAACATTATCTTAGAAAAGCATTTCAGTATTAAAAGCACTGAGAAGGCTTTCAGTGAAGACACTCTTTCATTCTGGGAAACTGGCAGAAACAAACTCATCAGTCAACCAACTCCTCTTTGTGAGGGATATTAATCAACATACTACAGACACACTCGGAAAGTTCCAACATGGAGCTTCTCGAGCTTGGCACTATTGCCATTTGGGGCCCAGTAATTCTCTGCCGTGGGGAACTGTCCTGTGCGTTGTAGGATGTTGAACAGCATCCCTGGCCTCTGGGAGGTGAACAGCATCATCTCCTCATTACGACAACCAAGAACATCTCCAGGTATTTCTAAATGTCCTCTGGGGGACAAAATCACCCACAGTTAAGTAATTTCAGGTCCACTCCCCCTTAGGGAAAATGGTACTTTACTTCAGGCCTATACCCATCTCAATCTATCTTTCCTAGTCCTATCTGAAACATCTCAAACCCAGACCCGTTGTGAGCCCCACGTCTCCCCTCTGCCAAGGACAACCTTCCTGTCAACGATGTCTTGTGTCACTGCCCTCCACAGCCACCAGTGCCTCAGCTCCGCCTGGACCTATGCTTGTGGCAAGGTGTAGGGTGGCTTATGAGGGAAAGAAGTTCCCACAGAGATGGTGCTCTGCAGAGAACCCAAAAGGGCAGCCAGTGGGCTGCAGAGCACCAAGTCCAGAGCCTTCCCTGGTCTCCCCGGTGTTACCTCATTATGTTGGAGGCATCTTCAGCATCAGGGTCAGCGCAGTACTTGTTGGCAAGAATGAGGCACGCATCTGCTGACTCTATCTAAGACACCGAAAGGGAAATCACAGAACACAAACATATAAATAGCCACGCTTGGCTGTAGTCTTTCTCTGTTGACAGCTTTTGGGGAATCTGGTGCTTTGCAAGGAAAGAAAAAAAATAATCCTGAGAGATTATAGTTTTTGTCAAAAGGGTAGGTTGCAAGATCTTGTTATGGTTAAACATTTCATCTTGTTGTTGTTCGAGGGTACATGTATCTTGGCAATTATGCTTTTCAATTTGCATAGTCACTTAGATGTAATCTTTCCAGATTTCTTTAAATAACAATTAATGAAGACTTTCAGTCCCCTCCCCTGCTTCCTTCCCCGAACAACGGATTTACCCCATTATCCTAAATTTTCTAGTCGGGAAATGGCGTTAGGTGAGCTAAACCCCTTCTCTGAGGTCACCGAGTTAACTGAATAGTCAGGGATTCAGAAAGTGAGACTCCAAAGTCCTTCACTGACCTTTTTCACATCTTAACCGTGGAACAGAAGGAAATAAGAGCCCTAAATCAGATAACAGCTTAGTATTGTTTAGTACTCGATTAGCATTCAGATATTCGAAAGACAACAAATCTATGTGTATGAAATGATGTGTTACAGATGAACTCAAAACCTACTGACTTATCTAAACATGAGCCAAAATAAGATTTATGCCTTTGAGGGAATGATGAGTTATGTTAATAATTGCTTGCATCTAAATTAGGTCCTTGAACAGTAACTATTTTCTCCAAGTTCTCATTAGATTTCACATTAGTCATAACTTGGATCATGTCTGGATAATATTAAGAGTAACTGGACTCTATAAGCATAAGAATTCTCGTGCTGGCTCAGGTCTGCAATCTGTCCCCCTTGTTATGTTGTATTTAATAGACCATTCCCGCATTTTGGTGGGAGGCCATGGTTTCCTCCATGGTATGTCACAAATTGTCTCTAGTTTTCTTTAATAATCCAAAGAATTTACCCAGATCCTTCTGCTTATTCACGTTTGCCAATGACATTATTTACTAAATTATGTAGTGACCACAGTTAACATTTAGATGCCAGTGGATTCACAATATTAATCTATACCCACTGCCATGGAAATATTGAACGTGCTTACAAAATCTATATAAAACAAGCAAAGCAGCAGATGCCACTTTGCTGTATCCTTTTCCTTTATAAGCCTCAGGTCTGCTTTATAAGAAGATTCTAACTTAGCAGATTTTGAAATGAAAGATTAGCCCTTTACCAAGAGATATCAGATATCTGCATGTTTAGTTTTGTGCTTTTAGTCTTCGGTGGCGGGAAAAAAAGGAAGCTCAAAATGTTTTATGGCCTAGTCAAATTATATTTATACTTTATCCTTCATGTTCCTTTCCGACGTAAATAATAGATTTCAGAGCTACACTGAGTCCAATTTAAGTATTTAAGATGGGAATTACTCTATTATTATCTTGTATATGAGTCTCCTGAATCCGTACAATTGCTCTACTCCCTTGAGGAGTGCTGATATTGAGGGAACCAGCAAAATAACTGTCATTTTATGACTCGTCCAAGTGAGGGAAGTGGTCTAGCAAGTGCCAGCGGAACGAAGCTCTGGGACCAGTGGAAGGGTGATGTCAAAGCTGGTGGCATCTGACTTCTCTTATTAGGGGTGTGGAGGTGACTCTTGGCCATCTTAGGAGGCATATGGCCTCACCACAGAGTCAATCTCCCTCTGAGATGGAGTAAAAGCGGAAGTCCCCTCCTCCTTCTTACCTTGACTCTTGCAAGATCATGCGGATTGAGGACTGAACCCTGATAAAATTCCACCTGAGTAAAATGTCGTTTGAACAGAGCCTCAAGCTCCAGGTTAGGGGAAATGCTGGCAGGGAGAGAAGAAACAGCCATTAATAAAACAGACTCAGGTATTCCTGCTTCCATGGCCGCCTTTCTCTCTGACTTCCAAAGAGAAAGACCTAGGAAAAGGCTTTCACCTTCAAGGCAGCGCCCTTTCTTGCCAGAAATAAAAGGTTCACACTCCAAAGAAATAAAACCCCAGCCCCCTGAAAACCCAAACCAGTACTGAGGTAAAATGAAGAGGCTCACGGTCTTCACAAAGTCTGATGAGGCCAATGAGGCAAAATGTCTTCAACTTTGTTAGGAATGGGATCTCTATTTTATGAATAGAGACTGAGCTGTGACATCAGAGATTAGCCAGAGGTGCCCCTGGCAGAGCCTCCTACCATTCCCTCCCTCAAAGCCTCTTCCCTGCTTCTCAGCCACATGGACTTCTCATCCCCCAGGGCCTGGATCAAAACATGTCACCTCTGAGCAACCACAGACAGAGATAATTTACTCTCGGTACTGTTCTTGATTCACACATGCGTACACTCCTCATCATTCTTAGTGCTGAGCTGTACAGACATCTTTCCCATTGGAGGACAAGGATTAAAACACTGATTGACCTATTCATCCATTTATTAGTTCTGTAGAGATGAAAGATATCTACTCTCTATAGGTCTTAGGCTAGGTGCTGGGAGATGATATTTGGTTTGAACCTACTAGGTACCAAGAACTGTGTTAGTCAATGCTTGCCTAACATTCATTAAGTGCTTAGTATGAATTGTTAATGTTTTCCAGAACTTATTATGTGGCAGACACCATTCCAAGCACTTGACAAATATTAACTCATTTAAACCTCAAAACAACCCTGGAGGAAGGGATGTTATTAACCCAAAGCTTAAAGAGGTTAATTAACTGGGCCATCTACTACAGTGCTGACACTGACAGATGCTGGGGACATGAAGGTGAATCCCAGCAAGTGAAGCATTAGCCGCCAGCTTGTTGATCAGACTCAAGCAGTGGGTGAGAGAGAAACAGAGCCTGTGCAAATCCCACCCGTCTTTGAGATCCATTACTGGTCGGGCTCCTCTTGGGAAGTCTGCCTGGTCATGGAAGAAATGGTGGTCTCTCCCTGACACAAATGACCGGTGCAGTTCTAGCTCTTGACTAAACCGACTTCAGTCAGTGAATATAGGTTAGATGTTGAGCTCTAATTGTTGCACACGTGCTCATCTTGAAATGCCCAACCAATATGAGGGCAGAACCTACGCACGCTACTTCTCTTGAACCTTCCATAATGCTCTGCAGAGGACGGGCCCCTCGGCTGGTAATGAGAGGCTAAGCACTGAATTGTATCTGTGAGTTCTGCTCCTGTGCTGATGGCCTGGCTGGTCTTTTCAGAACTGGGAGAATTCAGTGCTGAGAAGCAAAATGCTGGCGCTCAGACATGGTGGCCATTTTGGTACTCTAGGAACAAATGTCAAAAGGAAGGAGATGCACAGAACAGAAGCTTATAGGGAAGTCAACTTCCATGGGATCTTGGAGCAGGATTGAGGCCTGGGCCATCAACCCCCTATGGAGCCAACACCAACTCGTAAACTTTGTCCCTTAGTACCTTGGGGCTAGTGCTGGCCCTATGGTGGCCTCATTTCCAACAAAAAAGAAGACAGTGCCACCCAAGTCAACATTCCTGAGTCCCTAGACTCTAGCCCTGGGGCAGACTAACTTTTACCTAAAAGGGGATCAGATGAAGCTTAAAATCCCAACAACATTGAGCAGAAGGAGAGGTCTTGCTTTCAACTGTACAGCAAACCGTTGATTTTATTTCTAATATATTTTATCTTTCACAATAATAGCTAACATTTTTTGAGCACTTACTGTGTGCCTGATTCTGCTCTGTGTACTTTACATGGATTATGTCTTTTCATTCCCCCTACATGGTAGAATGAAACCATTGTGATCTCCCTATCTTATGAATGTGAAAACTAGAGCCCAGGGAGGCTAAATAACTTCTTGGGCAAGAGTCATATGTAATACTCGTACTTTGGCTCCCTGTGTTGACGAAAGGAGAGATCGTATGCCCGGGGACCAGCACAGGTTCCTACACTGAGGTTTCTAGAAATGGCAATTGTTGTTGCAGCTGTGATTAGTACTTTATACCCTGCTTCCTCTTACATTTGTGTCTTGCATGGCCACCCTGTCGCTCCTGTAAAGAATCCACACCAGACAGCTAATCATTCCACACCAGACACTGTGGACACACCTGGATCGAATCGATCCAGACAGCTGATGGGACAGTAATGATGTGTTTGACCCATAATGAACTTCACTCTTACTTGCCAGAATTGCCTCCACAGAAGCAGGTGCCGTTCTCACCATGAACTAATGGGCTGGTTCCCTTTCCATTGGTTCCATATTGTCCTCTCCAAGGAGGCCACCTGGGGCCATGGCCAATTCAACTCTGCACTGCCCCCCAACACGGCCCTCACACCACCACTCCTACAGACACTCAGGGAGTCCTCCTCAGGGTGCCTGGTTGGGTGGAGGGTCTCAAAACAGCAGCGGCCCCTTACTTGTGAAGAAAGACGATTTCCACATTCACATCATCCCGGTCCTTGTGCAGGAAGTCCTTCAGGAAGTTGGAAACACTCTCCAGAGTGATGTGTCCACAGACCACAATGTGCCTGAACAGGAGAAGCCAGTTAGATGGGGCCAGCCCCGCGCTGACCCGGCACCCACCCCAGGCAAGACAGAGGAAGCGCACAGCTGCAGGGAAGCATTCTTCTCCTCCCAAGGCCTCAATTAAAGCCCAGCCCCATCCCCAGAGGGCCGTGAGGCAAAGCAGCGGTGCTGGCAGGTGCTCAGAGACTCCTCGGCAGAAAAGGCATATGGCTTCTCACCTGATGCTGCACAAAATCCTATTAAAAGCCCAACCGTTTGGCCAAGTGGTTTTATGCATTGAACAATAAGTGACATTATGCTTGTGCTTAAATGCTGCATTATCAAGTCCCTTGCAGATTCATATCTTTCCCTTTCTGCCCACAAAGCGTCCTCTTGAGAGATTTACCGAATGAGTCTTGGTTTATGACATAGAGCTTATCAGGTAATGAGATAACAAATCTTGCTGAAACGATGATTTTGTGTGTAAGAAAGCGGACTTTTATCAGGGTGGCTAATGTGCAGCTTGACACGTTATGGGCTCTGCTGGCCATAAGCAGTAAAAAGGAAATTTTGCATTTTTCCGCCATAACTCCTCCGACAATGGGGGCATGTAACACTTTACAGTAAGTGAGCATTACTCAGGGCTAAATGGGGATGGGACGCCTATGGAATCGGAGATCATGCTGCAGGCTGTGCATCCCCAGATAGCTGTTTCCCTAGGGTGCCCAGGATTTCCACGAGAGCCAAAGCATTTTACTTCAAGATGGGGTCTTGAAGGGAAGAAGCTGGAATGGTTTGCCTTGATCCAGCGACGTTTGGACTTCTGTTTCTGGAGATGGTGACTTCCCCTGAGGAGATGAGCCTCTTTTCCAGAACTGCTGGGACAACCATCTCCCTGACATCTTTGGGCTCCTGGACCCATCTGATAAATCTGAACCAATCTGGCTACCCTGTGGCCATTGACATTGGCTATCTGATGCTCCATCAGGACTAAGCCCTTTGGTGCAAGGGTTAGCCCCACGACCCAAAGCCAGGGCCTGACTGTGGAGAGGAAACCTGCTGGTTTCTAAAGGAAGACAGCAGCAAGGGGCTCAGCCCAGGTCCCCGTGCCTCCCGGGCTGCTAGGGACAGAGGCTGAATCCCTGGCCCGGCTCTGAGGCATGGGCAGGTGGCGAACACCCAAGCACGGTAATTTCGTGGGAAAAAATTTAGAATGGTTAAGCCCCTTGCACCTCATAATTGCTCGGTGCACATTCCAATAAGGCAGAAACCTCATTGGCTGAAGGCAGCTCATAATGGGAGGAAGTGATGATCACTTATGCAATGTTCCATTAGATGCCATTACAAGAGCCTGCCCTTTCGTTGTAATTTGGTGCTTGACTAAGTATGTGAGAATAAGGCAGTAAACTCATTGGTGAAAGGATAATGATGCAGAACAAAGAGTAAATCAATAATATGCACAATGCAGTTAATAATATCACCATTATGGACTGTTATTGTTACGGTGCCGCGCTCAGTGGCCGCGCGAGCGAAGGCCGTCACGGGGAGGAAAGACTGTCCATGGGCTGCCTCAGAAGAGAAGTTCCAACCCGATCACTTTGTTCTCTAGCCAGTACCAGCCAGGTTCAGGGAGGTCCCTTGGCCACCCATCCAAATGCCCCACACCCACATAACTAACTCCCTCCCGAAATACATCCTGTGTCAGAACACGGGATATGAACAGAACACTTGGATTACACACATTTTTATCCTGTCATCTCTTAAAATATTTCTTGTAGCACATGTGCACTTACATGGACAAAACAGGCTGCAAATGAATTTGCATGTTTTGTGTAAGATTTCTGATTCTGAATTTGCCAGGTGTGTGCAGAAAGTGACCCAAGACGCAGGATCTCCCTCCTGACCTGACATCTAGGTCTGCATGGGGGCAATTCTAATGCCTTCTGCCCACAGACTCCCATGACTGCGAACAAGGCCAGCGTGAATCTGATGTATGGGCACCTCCACAGGACAGATATGGGGTTGGGGCCCTCCCCCTCACCTGGATGTGAGAACAAGCCAGACTGGATCCCTTGCCCTGCCACCAAGGATGTGTGTGACCCTGGGCAACCTCCTTATCCCCATTCAATAGATGAGGGAGCTGAGAGGGCCAGCTTCCTGCCCCAGGCACGGCAGAGCTCAAAGTTCTATACCAGTAGAAGCCTGGTGATTACTCAAAGCTGGACTCGAATCAATGATAGGTCCGGGGAAATGCCTGAACATTCATCCTTCCCATCCTGTGCGCAAAGGACTGAATGAACATCTGCCAGCATCCCTCTCCCTGTTCTGAAATCGTTCATCTCCAGGACAGATGTGTGAGAAGTGGAAGGGAAGGAGATGAGTTCACCCTCTCACCCTTGAATCAAAGGCCCTGCCAGCTGATTTATTCAGCTTTAGAAAGAGTCAGGGTTCTCCTAGTTGAAAATATGCTGGGTACATATAAAATATATTCCAGTGCAATCAATATTATCCCTTAAGCCTTTAATTAGCTTTCACTTCTCTTAAGAAGTAGACAAATGCAGGCAGAAGAGGAGCGGAAGAAAAGGATTGACTTTTCTCATTTGATGCTAGCTGTCCAATACCATTCTAGACAATTGAGAATATATATCTTTTAGCTACAGCATGATTTCTGGGGTGGAGAGCAGCCTTTATCAAAAAGGAAGAAAAAAAATCTTCCTTCAACATAATTGGTATTTCTGCTCAGGAAAAGCAAGATTGATTGAAAGCAGATTGCCTTTTTGCCCAAGGAGAGTTATTAGGTACATTATCATGGCAACCTTGGAGAACCCATATTGTTCCAATCTGTCCTATATCTGATTTGAAGATTTATGACTTCCCCCCTTTGTGCCAATAATCACTTCCCTCCATTTTGTTTTCCATACAGTGGAAGTTATCAAGAAGCCCACATATTGAACATGTTTGAATGCAGTTAGAGTTGATGGATGGGGAGAAGTCACCTCTCTAACTCAGCATCTGCATTAGAAGATCAGCTCCATGAGCCTGTCTGTGTCTGAGGGAGCACGGGGGCCCCTGCAGGAGCACAAGGGATGGATGGTGAAAAGGGAAAATTTACTTTCCAGAAATATTATCAAGACTTTTGAAAATTCCAGGGACTGTAGTTGGGGAAGGGTGTTATTGCAGGGAGAAGAGAAGCAGAATTTGTTGTATCCTCGATGATTGAAAATACAATTGAAAATATTCTAAGACTGGGAGCTGGGTGTGCTCTCCTTGGATACAGAGTGATGGTTATTCACGGTACACGATTTAAAGGATGCCAAAAAGATCCTCATCCAAAATTATCTCTGCCAGATTCCATGACACCTACAAATCTACTATGTGAGATCTGTACTTTGATAGCTCTGTGTTAGCTCAGCTCAGACACTAAATACCTAAATAGTCTTAGGCAAGGTACCAATTCTGCATTTTACAACTATAAAGTCAGAGTCTTGGAGGGGCTGGAGCTAGTATCTGATTCATGAGGTTATCTTGAGGATTTATTTAAATAGATAATACATGTGAAGGGCCTAGTAAAGGGTCTGGGCCATTGCAAGCATTATTAAATGGTAGGATTCATGTGATATATATAAACCAGTAGGTAACAGATGTAAAGTGCTCTAGGGCCCCTGGAATCTCGCCTAATCCTCAAACAACCCTATGTTCCTACAATCTGCATCTCTGCAGATAACCTCTCTTAACCTCAATTTCCTTAAGTTGCATGCCTGACATCCCACAGCAAGAAAGTGATTTGCCCAGGATGTGACCCAGGTCTCTGGCTCTAATGCTCACTGAGATGAAGGTGTTGGGGTGCAGAGAGCAAGGGCTGGAGTATTTCAGCCTCTGCTCCTTGATGACAGGCAGGGCTCAGCCAGCAGGATGTCCTCCTGGTCACACAGTGGAGGGGATGCTGGAGGGGTTCTCACTGGGCCAGGAGAGAGGCTTAGCCTGGGGACTGGGATAGAAAGAGATGATTCTCACTTAAAACATCCCAGTGTTGCAGCATCACTAGATGCTGGCTGCACGTGGTCAAGGCAACAAAGGCTGAGGGATGGCAGAAACTCTAAACCAAGTCTTTTACACTGAAGCCACACAATTTGGCAAGCCAAGGGATGGCAAAATGATGCAGATATCCATTTTAGACATCATATGTTATGTCCAGCCCAGGATGCCTCACCAGCCTAAGGATCCCGAAGATAAATGATCCATTTATGGTGGAGAATATTTAGGAAAGGTACGCTGTGACCGTAACTAACACTGTTCCCAACGTGGCTTTGGATTTGAGCTTCTTTAAATGATTGGCATCCTTAATGATGGATTTCTATAGGGCCTGGCCATGTGGTTTGTGAAGATGGCCAACAAACCTACATCAATAACCATTTCTGATCTGATGGGGCTTCTTTGTTTTTAAAATTTTGTCAAGTTCTGTAAACAAATCTTTCTTGGGCTAAACTAATGTTAATGGCTGGATTAAAAGATTCCTCTCAGATGCATGAAGAAGCATCTTAAATGCTAGAATAGTAGCAGATGACATTTTGTGTAAAGGAGCTAGTCATCCAGTGTAAGCAAATTCGCCTGGTCTGGGGGCAGGGCTCCATAAACACAGGCTGAACTGAATTAGGGGTGGGTAATACTCGAGTGTCATGGAGCAAACCTGGCGTCAGTAGATGAGTGTGACAACCACAGTAAGAATAATGCTTGACTATTACAAACACTACCAGGGTTCACCAAACTACCAAGTGTTTCTTTCATGAGTACATTTTCCCTAAATGAATATGGGTGTGCCTCTCCCATCATTAAGCTTCTCCACCCCCAGAATCAAATCCCATGAATTCTCCGCAATCAGTCCACTTCCTTCCTGGAGATGGCGGAGGGAAGCCAGGATGCCCCAGTTGAGTTGGGACCTGTTTCAGAGCTCAGTTCCATTGGTGCCTTTCAGAATGGGCAACTTAGGGGAGGTGACCTAGGGCAGGAGGCATAAGAGGATGCC